CGGTGGCTTGTCCCTGTCCCTGCGTGCCCGCACCTGCCTCACAGAGCAACGGGCTCTACACAGTGGCCCATCACTCTTGCCCACCTTCTGGCCAGATGCCATTGCTTTGGCTAAGGACTGTATAAACTGCATCCTTTTGGGAAGACGTCGGTGCACTCCCACGGGTGATGAGAAATCTACGTGGCTGGACCATCGAGGATCACATCTCGGACGGTGGTAGCTATATTCGCTTTTCCCTCCTTTCTCTCTATTCTTTATTTCCTTTTTCTGTCCCCTCTATCGCATTTGCTGTTGGCACCTCTCCTCCCTAAAAAGGTACTTGTCAATGTAGGAAAAGTAAAAGAATATGCATTGTCAGAAACCAACACCCAACCCCTTCTTCTGTGCCTCACTAAAGCAGGAACAGGATGTTCATACTTTTTGGATGTGGGAGAAATTACTATTTCAGCCTCATCTGCGGCTATGAAACAAACAAGAATGAGCCCAAAACCTCGGGTGGTGAGGAGCTGACGCCAGCCGATGGTGTGACCCGGGGCAGAGCCCCAGCTGGCATTTGGGCACACCCCAGGCACCAGCAGACACCGTGCTGGGGGAGCTGGGGCAGAGCCTGGCTCAGGCACCGGGCCCTGGGGCAGTGGCCCAGCGGGCAGGAGTGAGGAGCCTGACTGCCACCATCTCCTCACACTGCTAGTGCTGCTCCTGGGACACCTCCCCTTCCTAGTGGTGGTTGTTCCAAAATATGCTTATTTGCCATATTGCTCTTGATACATTTTTATTGGCATTTTCCTGCACAGCAACACAGGAAGAGAAAGTAATTACCACTTCTATTCTGCAGCTTGATAACAAAATATTCCTGTGAGCTTCCCACATGTCCACACATCTTATCCTAATGGTTTTCCAGAAATGTATTTTTTCTTTAATTCTCACCAAAGAAAAGAGATTCATACACTACATTTGAATGAATGTAATATATAATACCACACTAAAACCTGTTTATCAGTCAGTTCATGTGTTTGTTTCAATGCTCACCTCAGTGACAGGACAAGTGATTTTTATACAAAAAGTAGCAACAATAATTAATAAAAATGGTGTTCTAGTGCAATGGTAATAATTAGGTCCCTTGGTCTTGCCTAAATACAGCAGAAGATTAGAATTTTCCAGACTTAAGTATCAATGAGAGCTTTGGGTGCACAACAAACATAACTCTGAATCTCAGCTAATTAGGGATTCTCTTATGGGTTCAAATTTATTTAGTGGAAGGAGTAGGGGCAAATATGTCTCTTTTTCTCCCCTCCACATACCCCCCCCCCCCCCCCCAAAAATAATTGCAAAAAATTTAACTATCAGACATATTTATTCTTAAAAATAAGAGCATAACAATGGTCACACTTTCCTGAGTTCCACCAGCTTGTGACAATTGGAGCATATACTCTTTATTCCAAAATGACATAAAAAATATTTATCACTTTTTAACTAGTTATTCAATAATAAAATAATTCACTAATGGTACTGTAAATTTGCAAGCAGCCTAAAGTCAAATCTACAGTCATGATCGAAAGAGCTTCTCAAGCTGACGAGCAACATCTGGAGAAAGACAGCAACAATCCCAGAAGTACTTAGTCTTTGGAGAACTGATTTGTACCAAGAAATCATGTGCTTTGCAATCATGTAGCTCTCATGTAGCAATATTAGTATTCTGGTGGAGGTTAATATGTAATGCCTTCATTTCTAAGAATAAATTTGACCATGTCAGGAGACTGTTGGATCTCTAAATTTAAACTTGCTTAGAGAAACTGTCCTCGGGAAATGCATTGAACATGACATATGTTCATACACGAACAGCTAAAATTACTGGTGCCTTTCAGTTGTTAGATACACAATTTGCAGTACCTTCTTTTATGGTTTAAAAAGTTATTTCCGAAAATACTGCTAAGGAGAAAACAACACACATATGCAGTAATGCCCTGCATTGGATGGCATCTTTCCAGAGACTGCTTATTTGGAATCTTACTTAGTCAAATTATCTACATAACAAAAGTAATATTTCTCCTATTAAAACAGTCAACTCTGTAAATTCTCAAGGAATGAAAGTGAAGTGGGATACCTAATTGCTCGGAAATTCTACAGAAATATTTTAATTTTATTCTACCACCAAAGGTTTTACCCACAGCCCCAGACAAGCTGCAGCTTAATTCCACTCCAGGGGAGAAGCCTCTATTACAGCTCAGCATCAACTGTGTTATGCAAAACAGGTAAACTGATACCAGTCATTTAAACAAGGTAGGACTCAGCTAGGATAAACTTTTATACGTTCAGGACTCTTTTCATGATTTCTTGATTAAAATGTGTCGTTAAGCCAATATTCACATAATCGATCTTAAAATCCTCCTTTTAATTTTTCAACTGATTGGTGTTTTTTTTTCCTTAAAAAAAATTACAGAATTCTTCAGAACACTTGAATTTGATCTTTTGGCAGGTAATCTTTTCAGAAAATAGAAACCCAAATATTGCTAAATCAGTAAAAGAAACACTTTGAAAACAAAATGCATATAGTGATTAAAGATATTTTTAAAAACACATAAAAATTACAGACAAAGTTTGAATATTTAACATGCAAATACATCAAATAACATCTTTATCACAAGTTTATGCCATGGTCCAGTGTTAGGTCATATAAGAGGGATTGTCTGGGATCTAAACACATGACATGGGGCAAAGTAACAGATCACATCATCTATTTGTCACTTTGACTGAATAAAAAGTTTCCCATACATTTACCAGACTTCATCTTAAAAAAAAAAAAAAATAAATCCTACTGAAGAAAGGAGCAAAACTCCTGTAAAAGATTCCAGCATCACCTTTCCGTCATGTTTCCATTAATGCATTAAGCTGCTATACTGACTTCTTCTATCAATTACATTATTTAAAGAAAAAAATTAAATCGAAGCAATAATCAGTTTTCTTGATGTTTCAGCCAGAAAACTAACATAAATAAAGAAGGTAAATAAGTTTCTCCTTTATATTTTGCACCATGACACTCTGCATAAACTATCTCATTTTGTGAACACACATGTACTATTGTAAGAAATTGGAAGATCCACTTGCCTAGAAGGAAAGTTGATTTTGGTGACAGTTTTGCATGACTGAAGCTTCACAGTGCAGCTTTTGCAAAACATTTAATTATTGAAAGTGCAAGTCTCTAAGTGCCAGATCATAGAACAGATAGTCACAAATATGCTTGTATTACAACAGGTACTAATCTCCTCCCAAAAGCACATGCCGGCAAATTGAAAAGCACAGAGTTGTTTTCAGACAATATTTGACAGAAGAGAAAAAAGAAAACAGTAAATGAAAACAAGCAAAAAAGTGACAACCTAAGACACTATAAGAACTAGACAATTTAGTCATGAAAGAGGCAAAATCCTTGTTCAAATTCAACAACTGAGTAATAAATCACATCCAACCTGGCCCTCATTTAAGGAGTACAGGTGGTCCTTGTGTGGAACTGTGTTGATACTGATCCCTGTTCTTTGCCCAAATCACAGTCATGGGTAATCATTTGTACAATCAAGCAGCTCAAAGCTGAAGGGGTGGAAAATTTCCTCTCTCTTGAATCTTGACAGAATACTTCTGAAGAAGAATTAACTAAATTATTTTTCTGAGAAAAAGAAATGAGAAATGTATAGCCAATCTAAAGCAGAGTCTAATTCACGGACAATAAAGAGGACTAAGGACCTCCTCACACAGGAAGGAAGCAGCACAATTTCATTTCAAGAGAATGGGAGGAAACTATCCTGAACATTCCACATATTTGCTTCTTAATATTCACACCTCAATATCTATTGCCCCTTAAAAAAAATCACTCTTGTGAGAAGAAAGAGAGGTTACAGAATCAGCTCTCTGTGCCCATGCAGAGCAGGAAGAGTGATGTAGAACTCAAAATTCAGGAAGTTTCGGTGCAGGAGATGTGGAGGGGACCCTACTAAGACATTTCATACCCTGTTTTATTCCAAGCCTTTTGAACTGCACATGAAAATGTTTGCATTTTGAATTTACCAAGAAAAATACACCTTTCTACAGGCTTGTCTTTTAGAATTTGGGTGTCTTCCAGGCTGAAACACCTTCCTGAGCCATCCACCATTCTTTTTTAATCCTTTCAAATTCCACAAAATCATTTGGTGGGGGAAAGAGAGCAAGGAGGTGGTGGGGGGAAAGGGTGTAGACAATGAACTCCGCAGAAACCATCCACCTTTTGCTTCTGAGCCCATGCCAACCGCCTGGGATAACCCTTGACCGGAGACAGAGCCTTCTTGGCAGTCCCGCCTTCCGCAACCCATCCAAGGGCAGCTGAGGGAGCGAAAGGGCAGCGCATAAGCGTTCAAGCTAAACAGCTCTCCTCTGAAAAAGCGACTCCACAACACGCAGTGACTTTTTTTTTTTTTTTTTTCTTTTAACTGAACCTGCCAGTTATTGCAAAACATTTCACATGTGAAGATCTCACAAATAACAGCCAGACTTTTTTTTTTTTTTTTTTTTTTTTTTTTAATTTTTTTTTTTTTTTTCTTTTAAAGGATATCCTCCCCGCGGATGAGCGGCTCTTTCCACGCGTAGTGCCAAGACCCATCCTTCCCTCCCTGGCCGCACAGACGGCACTGGGCGTGTAGCCGGGGCTCTATGTAATCCCCGCCGGCACAGCCCGGCCCCGCCACTGCCGCTCCCGAGGCGCTCCCGACCCCGCCGCGGCGGAGCGGGGATGCCGCCGGTCCCGGGGGCCGCGCAGCCGCCCGCGCCCGCCGCCGGCCCGCGGGCAGCACCGCCGCGGCGGAGCAGAAAGTGAAAGTACCGCGGCCGGCGGAGCCCCATGGGAAAGGCAAAGCCCGGCCGGCCCGCCGCCGCTTCGGACCGCGCCGCGGCCCCCCCGGGCGGGCGGGCGCCGGGGGGCTGCTGAGCCCGGCCCGGCCCCCGGCCCCTCTCGGCCCCTGCGCGGCGCTCCGCGGGCTGCGGGCGTCATGGCCGAGGCGGCGCCACCACCATGACCGCGGACCCGTCGGCGCAGCTCCCCGACAGCCTCCGCACGGACCATGTTCCATGGTAAGGAGCGCGCCCCGCACCGCACCGCTCCGCGGAACGGAAGGCGCCCGCCTCACCTGCCCCCGGCTCCGCCGCGCTGCTCCGCACCCGCGGCCGCGCTGGCTCCTCACCTGCTCCGCTGTCTCCCAGCCGTCGGCCCCGCCGTCCCGCCTGCTCTGCCGGCGCGGTGCTTCCCGGTGCCTTTTAAATGCTTGGTGACGGCCAGGGAAATTCCCAGTTTTGCTTTTCTTTTTTCTCTTTTTCCCGTAGAATGAAAGTAAAAGAGTCCGGTTCCCATCACGCCTGCTGCCGGGAAGGGCAGCTCGGGCAGGGCAGCGGGACAGCGCGGGGCGGGGGAGCTGCGGGAGGCATTGCTCCGCGCCGGTCCGCGCTGCTCCCACCGCCCGTGGCGCCTAGCTTCCCGTGGGTACCTGCCTCCCGTGGGC